CCCCTGCGCATGGCTGCCATGGCCTTCCTGGGCAATTTCACCGACAGCCTCCAGATGCTCACGCCGGTGCGTGTCCCCAGGCCCCCGGGCGCCCCCAGCTCCTGCCCCGGTCACCTCCATGCCTGGCCCCAGTGCCCCCAGTTCCTGCCCTGTGCACCCCCATAACCAGCACCAGGTCCCATCCTACCTTGGGCACCCTCATACCTGTCCCCAGTGCCCCCAGCTCCTGCCCTGGGCACCCCCATACCTGGTCCCAGTTCCTGTCCTTCCACATGCACCCCCATCCCTGTCCCCAGTGCCCCCAGCTCCCCTTCTACCATGGGCACCCCCGTACCTGCCCCAGTTCCTGCTCTGGGCACCCCGATACCTGACTCCAGCTCCCATTGTACCATGAACACCCCAATACTTGCCCCCAGAACCCCAGCTCCTGACCCAGACACCCCAGCACCCACCCTGTCCTAGACACAGCACCCACCCTGCTCCCCAGTGCGTCCCTGCCTGTGTCTGAGGGGAGAGCGCAGGCCAGGCTCCCCCCACCCCCCATCACGTGCAGGGCCGTGTGGGTGAATGACTTGGAGCCCGTCCTCCTCGCTGGGCTCCTGGCAGGTGGCTGGATCGGGGCCGGCCAGGTGCTCTGGTGCTTGGCCCCGTCTGCTCCCCCAGGGGTGGGGGGCTGTGGGTCGCCCGTGGGCTCCGGCTGCAGCGACGCTGATGACCTCTGCTCTGCCCCTCCAGCAACTCAACGCCATCATCGCCGCCTCTGCCTCGGTGAAGTCCTCGCAGAAGCTGAAGCAGATGCTGGAGGTGGGGTATTGGGCCCTGCGCTTGGGACACGACCATTGCGCCCGCCCATGCAAGCTGGGCTGCGGGGAGGCCCCAGGGGCGGCGGGGGGTCACCGGCTGGGTAGCAGCCCCCAGAGCCGCGACAGGGAGGGTGGAGACGATCCTTTCTCCATGGACACATGGGAAGGGACTAGGAACAATGGGCTCAAGCTGCAGCTGGGGAAACTGAGGCTGGAGATGAGAGGCTTTGAGGGGGTCGGGTGCTGGGCACCTGGAGGCATGGCTCTCCATGCCAGATGGGATGGGATGGTTGAGTTGGGGCTGATCCTGCCTGGAGCTGGGGCCAGGCCCCATCTCCTGTGATCCGAGGTGAGCCGGGGGGGGCAGGACCCCTCTGCCTCCCCTGACCTGCGCTTGCCTTGCAGATCATCCTGGCGCTGGGGAACTACATGAACAGCAGCAAGCGTGGCGCCGTCTACGGCTTCAAGCTGCAGAGCCTGGACCTGGTGAGCAGCTCGTGGGCCCTTGCACGATTGTGGCCTATGCACAGGGGTGTGCACCTCCACACGTGGGCGGGCCCAAATGCATCTCATAAGCTGGCATTTTGCAGCCAGGTGTGCTGGGGCTGGCGTCCCATGCACGTGGACCCATGCGCCCCCCCAGCCCCCTTTCTCTTGCCCACCCTCAGCTGCTGGACACTAAGTCAACGGACCGGAAGATGACACTGCTGCACTTCATCGCGCTGACCGTGAGGGAGAAGTACCCTGACCTGGCCACGTTCTGGCAAGAGCTGCACTTTGTGGAGAAGGCGGCCGCAGGTGCAGCCCCCCTCGCTTCCCCCACACTGGCCTGCCCCTGCCCCTGCCCGCTGGTCCAGAGATTTCCCTGCGTGCCCTTTTCCTGCTGGGGACGGGGAGCAGCCTGCTCTGGGGAGAGGATGGGGCATTGCTGGTGCCTGTGGGGGCCCCACCACTGATGCATGTGCCCCCCGCTCCCCACAGTGTCCCTGGAGAACGTGCTGCTGGATGTGAAGGAGCTAGGCCGGGGCATGGAGCTGATCCGGCGCGAGTGCAGCCTGCACGAGAGCACCGTCCTGCGCAGCTTCCTTGGCGCCAGCGAGGGCCGGCTGGAGCAGCTGCAGCGCGACTCCCGCACGGCTGAGGTGGGGGCCCGAGGGAACCGGGGAGGTGCGGGGGTCTCCGTTGTTTGCAGGGGTGCCAGAAATACAGGCGCCCTGTGGGGCTGGCTTGCACACACCCGTGCTAGCCCTCACCCTGTGACCGGTACCCGCCCTGCAGGACGCCTACAACACGGTCGTGCGCTACTTTGGCGAGAGCCCTAAGACGATGCCGCCGTCCGTCTTCTTCCCCATCTTCGTGCGCTTCATCCGGTCCTACAAGGTGAGCCGGGGCCGCGGGCCATGTGCGCTGGGGCTGGGCTCTGCGCCAGCCCCTTCCTGCCATTGTTGCGACGGGAAGCGCGTGCAACGAGCTCAGCTCCCGGCCCCTCCCTGTGAGGCCTCCAGCCCCCCCCTGTGCCCCACGGTCCTCCCGGGCCAGGACCCGGGTCTGTGCCCCCGTCAGCTCCGGTCCATCCCCCCCCCACAATGTGCCACCAGGATGCGGAGCAGGAGCACGAGCTGCGGAAGAAGCAGGAGGAGGTGATGCGGGAGAAGATGCTGGCGCAGGAGGCCAAGAAGCTGGAGAAGGTGTTGGCAGGGGGAATCGATCCTGGTTTGGGGAGGGCTCTGTCCTGGGAGTTGGGGGGCCCCAGCTCACTGCCAGTTCCTGGCACTCGGGGCGTGGGAGGGACGGTGGGGGACAGAGCCCCCGCCCTGGTGCTGGGGGTGGCAGGGACGTGTGTGTCTTGTCCCGGCTCCGATGCTGATCCCGGCTCCGTCCGGCTGCAGCGCAACAAGTGGCAGCAGCAGGAGCTGATCGCGGAGCTGCGCCGGCGCCAGGCCAAGGAGCATCGTCCCGTCTACGAGGGCAAGGACGGTGCCATCGAGGACATCATCACCGGTAGGTCCTGCCCGTCCCCTCCTCTCTCGGGGTCCAGCCCAGCCCGGGGACGGGGGCTGCCCAGGAGGGTCCCGCTCCCATGGCCCAGGCGCCACCTTGCTCCCTCGGCTCCCCACCCCAAGGTGCCTGACCTGCGTCTCTGCCCCCCGCCCCCCCAGCGCTGAAGAG